GGGGCTTGATCCCAGGACCCTGGGATCATGACCCATGTGGGGCTCTCTGCTCAGCAGGGAGCCTGCTTCCCTTCCTCTCTCTCTGCCTGCCTCTCTGCCTAATTGTGATCTCTGTCTGTCAAATAAATAAATAAAATCTTTAAAAAAAAAAAAAAAAAGACGGCTCGGTCAAGACTAAACTAGCCCTGCCTGAGAACAAGAGGACTTCTCCTAGGAGGTAAAAACGTAAGCTCTGTGCCCATCTTACTTAGCCAGTTGCCTTTTTAGCTTCCTCCCACTTTCTCTTTCTGAGTTAATTTGCTAGATAAGTGACCTCCATTTAAGTGACACAATGGTATATATGCTGGCCGTTTCTTTCACAATGTGAAACAAATCCCTGCAGGACGGAGACCTGAGTAAGTGAGGTGCCATGATCACACCCTGCTCTCATTGGTCTTATGTACTGTTTCCTCAAACTGTAATTTACTGGTAGCTATAAGTTTCCTTTACCTGGACATTAGATTTCAGATACCTGCAATGCAAAAAATAAGCAAAAGAGGCTCCTGAGCAATTAGGAACAGAGCCAGCACAAAGGCAGGTTTTCTTTATCTTCAGGAAAGGGACACCCTCAGGGAATTAAATAAGTTTCCTAAAATTGTGCATGAAAGCTAAATTTGCAAGTTATCTGCTCTGATCTTCTTCAAGTGTCTGGTTAGAACCAACAAGAAGGAAGAAAGGGAAGGAAAGGTTGCTCAGGTCCCACCAGAAAGTGAGGCTAACTCCCCAATTTGTTTTAATTGTATATAAGCAAACATCAACAGAGATGCAGATACAGAAAGAGACACTAATGAGGATAACAGCACATCACAAATGTAAGAGAATTTTATTGTAGGATTTAAAAGTCACAATTTCTACACATTTGAGGGAAGAAGGGGACTCTTAAATTTCCCATTTCCCAGCCCCAAACACCTAAAATTTAAGAAAATGAAATTCTTGAAGCATTGAATACTTTTCACCAGAACTAGTTACATGGCTGATTGAAGACCATCAAAATGCAACTTCTGAAAACTGAAGATGATGCCTGTTTCAGGTTTTTCCACCTTTCAGAGATGACTTTATTTCTTGATCCAGCAGCTCTGGATCACGCAAACACCAGTGAAGACAGACGACTCCAAAGAAGGAATAAGGAATGAGAGGAGCCAAAGGCTGTGCTAAACCAAGACCTTGTCAGGGCACCACAGGGGGTGTGTCAGGAGGGGCAGGGCACAGGCTCTGCTCAACTCATTCTGCTCTACTCTGCTCCACACCTTGTAGATGCTTTAAAAGAGCGTTTCTAGGACCTGGGCCCAAGGGTACTGCTTAGTGAGTAACCCTGTCAGATGCCCAGGCGGTGTGAGCCATTAGCACCGTTTGCCTCTGCTTTCAAGTGAGTGAGCAGAGATGTGACAGCGTGAATTAGAAGGCAACCAAATCTCAGTTCTCTTCTCCTTTTCTGGTGAAAAGCCCTATGAACAAGGCCCTTTTCTGCAACATCGTAGGGATTCTTCCTGTCATGTAATTTCAAAAATTAATTTAATCACCTTAAATTATATTTCATTTTTATTTCGTTTTCAAGAATCATCTAACTTTCCTATCCTTTCGTCTAACATCTCATAAACTTCTGAGTCCCCATTTTCTAGGTAAAATGAGCTTCCTGAGTTTCTCTGGGTGCCCATCTCAGCGACTTACAAGTCCAGTCAGTTTGTGGAGACCACATTTGAAGCCTTCTTTGATTCCCCGGTATAGTGCATGAACGAGAGATGATACTACCACAAATATTCCTGAAGAAAACTCTAAATTAGAGAAGGGCAATCCCTATACTGCATAAGCCATTTTGTTTTTCCAGAAGATACCATGATAGAATGTTGAACAGAACAAGCCCGGACATAAATACCTGCAGGTACTGCTTTTTTGCATCACTTCCGCCCTGTGATAGCCAGACAGCTTGCAAAATCCGTCGTTGCTGTACACGATAGGCCAGTCCACTATCTGGGCATTCCCCAACACAAAATTAGTATCTGTTAAAAAAACAAAAAAAGAAGAAGAAGAAGAAGAAAAAAAAGAAGAAGAAGAAGGAGAAGGAGAAAAGAAAAGAAAGGGGCATAGGAGGCAAGACATTAATTGAGAATCAATGAGGACATAAATAATGTCAACAAATCCAGGTATCTTGGTTTCCCTCTAAAACAGTCTCTTGAACAGGAAGAGGGCCCTGTGAGGAATACAAAAGAATAGTTCTTTAGAGCTGAATATTTTGAATTCAAATGCTAAGGTAACTGTCCTCCAAGAGGAAGTCAGCAAAGGAAGCATACTTAACCAACCAATCAATGAATCCTGCAGAAATCCAGTGATTTCCAGGAGACATGTTCAAGTCCTAACTCATCTCAGTGAAAGTACAGTGGTACTCTGGAGCAAGAGAGAATGCAAAAGGGATTTCTTCTGGGCTCCATCTAGCATCTTTGCCTTGTCAGTCCTTTGGCCAAAAGCTACAAATTGGCCTTGTTGACCCTGATGGGCATTTACCCATCCCAGGAGGAGAAAGTCTTCTTAGAGAGGCAGAGGAAGGGAGAGGGAGGATTGCCTTGTACAACACACATATCAGAGAGCCCTCCTCTTGGTAAGGAAGTGACTAGACACTCCTAATACTAGAGCCTTATAGAACCTGATCAAGATGCTCACAATGACAAAAGCCTTCTTGCTGATTCTGAAATTTTGTAGCCACAGAAGCCACATTTCAGAGTTCATTCACTGCCCACCAGCCCACATTCACTTCAGATGCAGGGAGTAAGTGGGCCAGAAACGTACAGCTGTTCAGTGTTTTCTTACCACCTCCCACATTTTTCAAGATCAAAAGTCTTCAATACTTTTTGTGCTTAGGTAATAACTGTCCCTCTTTTTCTCTTCGAGACCTTAAATTAGGCAAATAACATCCAGAACTTAAACATCATCGTGATTTTAGCTTGGCTCGCTCCTTTCCACAGAATACTTACCCCTTCCCCAAGAAAAGAAGAAGAAAAAAAAAAACAGGCACACAACCCTTCTTTCGTTGTAAACAGGAAGGGGTTTTGTTTATATACGCACACCGTTCAAAGTGAAATAGTAGTGACATATAATGTCCTCATTTAATTGGGACATTAATTTTGTTCTAGAACAGCATCTACAATTTATTCACAATATGGATAACCATCCCTTCTTATCTATGTGGGGAGGAATAGAGGAACCAAAAGGAGGAGAAATAACTAAATATGGTAATCTATTCTTAAAAATGCTTTCATCTACTTAAAAGGAACATAAAACACAACTATCAGGAAGTTAATCTATACAACTGTTAAGTTTATAAATATGCTTTTACTGAAAATCTATAACCAGTATTTCCCTCCATTTCTCCCATATAATCATGAATACTTTTGGAGTGTCCACTAGGTACCAAGCACATTACGAGACCCTGGAGATATCCAGCCTGATGCTATATGGTCCACGCATTCCAGGAAATTATCAGGACAAAAAGACATGTGCACAACTACCTAAGAAACCAGTAATAAAACTATTAACTCTGAGGGAGGTAAAGGACCATGTCTCCTTGGGATCACATTTGAACTTGCTCTAATCTGGAAGGATGAGTAAGACTCATTCAAACATTATGAATGCCTAACTTGTAACTATCACATATGATACAAAAACAATATTTAAAGAAATGAACACAAATTGCCTTTCACTGGTGAACTCAAGAGGTGGGAGAGGAAGGGAACATTCCAGGCTGAGGAGAAGCCTAAGCCAAGGTCTGGCAGGATGGGACACATAAAGACTGGCGTAAACAGACAAAGGGCACGAGGGAGACTGGCAGGAGATGAGCCTGAAGACCAGACTAGGATGGGCTTGATGGTCAAAGATCTTTGACTTTTTTCTGGAGACAGGAAAACACTTCAGGTATACCACTAGGATAGCTATAATAAAAAAGACAATAGCAAGTGTTGGTGAGGATGTGGAGAGACTGGAACCTGCATCCTGTAACCCTTGTGCACTGCTGGTGGGAATGTAAAATGGTGCAGTCAATTTGACAGTTTGGCAGTTCTTCAAAAGTTACCCCTGAAGATACCATATGACTCAGCAATTCTATTCCTAAATATGTGCTCAAGAAAAATGGCAACATATGTCTACACAAAAACCTGTCCATGAATGTTCATAGCAACAGTATTCATAATAGCCAAAACATGAAAATAATCCAAAATATCCATAAACTGATGAACAGATACACAAAATATGGCATCTATTTGGCAATAAAAAGAAACAATACTGATACATATTGCGACACGGATGAACCTTAAAAATATTACACTAAGTGAAAGAGGCCAGACACAAAAAGTCACATATATTTTTGGTCCATTTATGTGAAATGTCCAGAAGCAGCAAATCCATAGACACAGAAGGTAGTTTCATCATTGCCAGGGGCCTGGAGGGGAGGGATAGGAAGATGGAGTGACTGCCAATGGGTGTGGAGTTTCTTTTTGGGGGTGATGAAAATATTCTGGAATGCAATAGTGGTGATGGATGCATAACTCTGTAAATACACTAAACAACTGTATATTTAAAAAGTGTGAAAGTTATGATATGTGAATTATATCTCAATAAAGGTATTTTTTTTAAAGGGGGTGTGGATAATCCTTCATGCTGGTCTTCTCTTCCTGAGTTATTCTTTTTTTTTTTAATACCAGACTCTTTTTTTCTTTAAGATTTTATTTATTTATTTGACAGAGATCACAAGTAGGCAGTGAGGCAGGCAGAGAGAATGGAGGGGAAGAAGGCGCCCCGCTAAGCAGAGAGCCCGATGCAGGGCTCGATCCCAGGACCCTGGGATCATGACCTGAGCCAAAGGCAGAGGCTTTAATCCACTGAGCCACCCAGGCACCCCTTCCTGAGTTATTCTTGAAAAGAACAACTAAGCCTTAAAAAAAGTACAAAATTCACTACATCAGGGTGGCTGGGTGGCTCAGTCAGTTAAGTGTGTGACTCTTGATTTTAGCTCAGGTCATGATCTCAGGGTGGTGAGATCGAGCCCTGCGTGGAGTTCAGTGTGAAGCCTGCTTAAGATTCTCCCTCACTCTCCTCCTCTCCCTATGCCACCCCCCCACAGCGGCCCTCTCTCTCTCTCTCTCTCTAAAAAAAAAAAAAAAAAAGAAAGAAAGAAAGGAAGAAAGGAAGAAAAGAAAAGAAACAAATTCACTAAATCACCCTTAAATGTATATGAAATCCAATCAGTTTAACTTTCTTGTTGACTCCTAAAAGTGTAAGTAATTTCCCTCAAAGACCTCAAATAGTTAGGAAGAACTGAGTGAGCTCTTTCATGGCTAATGTCCCACTAAAGTTAAGTGCTAAGAGAGAATAATAGCCAGTTATAGATAATGATTTGACAGCATGTGTTTATTTCCTCTCTTACCCTAGGCACCCCGAAAATTAAAGTAAATGAATTAAAAAGGTAAAAATCCACACAAAAATTAGAGTAAAAAAAGAACAGAAAAAATGACAATGGAAGAAGCAGAAATAATATAGGAAACAAAAAATAACTTAAAAAAAAAAATCCCTGATTAGTGTCCTGAGAGAGATTCAAGAGATATTACAAACATAAAACAAGAACAGGATGCTATGAAAAAAAATAAGAGAACAATTAAGACTCCCTGTAAATTAAAAGTGAATAATTAAAAATTCAATATAAATTTCAGAAGATAAAGTCTCATAGAGAGTAGTAGAGACAGAAATAGTTTTTTTTAAAATAAGACATAGAGCATCAATCCAAGAGGAACAACATGTATACTAATAGGAACAAGAGAAAGAACAACATGAGAAAAAGCCAAACATTTTTTAAAAGTTAGAACTATCAAATGCGAGGGTAGAATAAAGATATTCAGATGTGCAAAGACCTAGAAAAGCCATTTCTCACTTTTTTAAGATTTACTTATTTATTTTATAGAGATCATATGACTGGCAGGAGTGGGAGGGGAAGAGAGACTCCCAGCAGACTCCCCACTGAGTGCAGAGCCCAATACAGGGCTAGACTACAGGACCCTGAGATCATCACCAGAACTAAAATCAAGAGGCAGATGCTTAACCGACTGAGCCACCCAGGCAACCCTCCTATGTATTCTTTCTTGGGAAGTTACTTGGGGATGTGTATCAGCAAAGTGAAGGAATAAGGAAAGAAGATGACATGAGAACCAGAGGGAAAGTGGCTCCAAATATAGAAATCAGGAAGGAAGCTAACAGAAAGCATTCAGCACAGAATGGTTCAGAGAACAGATGTCAGATGTTCCAGAAGAGAGTTATCTAGGGATAAAGGAGGTCAGGATCTGATGATATTCCTGATCATCTGAAACAACATAAAAAGTCAATATAGGGTGTCAATATAGGCTGGCTCAGTTAATTAAGCATTTGCCTTCAGCTCAGGTCAGAATCCCAGGGTCCTGGGATCAAGTCCTGAATTGGGCTCCTTGCTCAGCCAGGACCCTGCTGCTCCCTCTCCCTCTGCCCCTCCCCCCCTGGCTTGTGCTCTTTTTCTCTCTTTCTCTTTCTCAAATACATAAATAAAATCTTTAAAAAATAAGTCAATATAGGTGCATAATTTGGGGGTGGGGAATGGGCAGGAAAAGAAAGTAGAAGTATCAAAGATACAAAAGCTGTGCAAGAAGGGAAACCAAATCACACCATGTCTCATCACTATCACAACAGTGTAAACATCTCATTAATTTATAATTTTTAAAACCAACATAGTCAAAGCATGCAATATTTAACTATAAGTATCTAAATATAATCTTAGCAATTCCAATGCTGAAAAAATACAAATGATAAGTTTAGAGAGACAAGTGAGAACAATCATGGGATGGTGTCTAGAGCTGATATAATAAAAAAAAAGAAAGGCATAAATATTTTCAAGTTGCAAAGATAACCAATAAGGGAGTAATATAATTATATTACAAGAAGGAGGTTGAAAGTAAATAAAGTGAGATAAAAACTCAGCTAAATTAACGGA